AGTATACATGTTTGTACAGACAGTCACTGTGTTTATATTCAGTAGATAAACACAGTGACTGTCTGTACAAACATATATACAATTCAGTAGGTATATACATTATAAGGAAGATGCACACCAGCATTATCAAGTTTATTACAAAGACAAATGGAGGATTGTTGCATATGATATCTCTAATTTTGTAAAACTTCATTTTTTTATGGTGTATGTATTCTGTTTTCAATTTTGTCCCTGCAGTATTTTAACATCTTAAATGACATTAAATGTAAATCAAGGGTATTCAAAGAGTCAAATCCAATAGCTAATTTGTAATCATTTCCATATACTTGCATCATTCTTAATATCTAGTAATGCAAAACAAATCTTAACACCAAGAAAATCAGCTAAGTTTATCAAAATATTCTATAGAAAAGTTCCCATTCTAAAAATGGATAAACAAATCATCAGCTTTCAATGTAATGTTTGTACAGTCACGTAGTGTTACATGTGTAATGTCTGTACAGTCACGTGGTGTTACATGTGTAATGTTTGTACAGTCACGTGGTGTTACATGTGTAATGTCTGTACAGTCACGTGGTGTTACATGTGTAATGTCTGTACAGTCACGTGGTGTTACATGTGTAATGTCTGTACAGTCACGTGGTGTTACATGTGTAATGTCTGTACAGTCACGTGGTGTTACATGTGTAATGTCTGTACAGTCACGTGGTGTTACATATGTAATGTCTGTACAGTCACGTGGTGTTACATGTGTAATGTCTGTACAGTCACATGGTGTTACATGTGTAATGTTTGTACAGTCACGTGGTGTTACATGTGTAATGTTTGTACAGTCACGTGGTGTTATAATTGTAAAGATTATGATACTTACATTTATTTCTCTTATATTAATAACAGTTAAAGGAAGTCAAAGTCAAGTTACTGAGGTCATATTCTACATCGTGAAACACCAGTTATACATTACTGAGGTCATATTCTACATCGTGAAACACCAGTTATACATTACTGAGGTCATATTCTACATCGTGAAACACTAAGTTATACATTACTGAGGTCATATTCTACATCGTGAAACACTAGTTATACATTACTGAGGTCATATTCTACATCGTGAAACACCAGTTATATATTACTGAGGTCATATTCTACATCGTGAAACACTAGTTATAAATTACTGAGGTCATATTCTACATCATGAAACACTAGTTATACATTACTGAGGTCATATTCTACATCGTGAAACATGAGTTACACATTTACTGAGGTCATATTCTACATCGTGAAACACCAGTTATACATTACTGAGGTCATATTCTACATTGTGAAACATGTATGTTGCATTATGTGACCCCCCCCCACACACACTTATTATGAACAGTGTAGGAAAAGGTCTGGAATTTGAGGATTAAAGAAAAGATTGTTATGTTACATTTTATTTTTCATTGGAGGTAGGTAGTTTTCTTTATCATGCTGGAAGAATAACTTGATGTATACAAACAACTAATAATAAACACTGTTACTAATCTTATTTTTTAATTTGTCCTTTTATTAACCTGTCTCCTGGTAGGTCAACAATAAGTTTTTGGACTTAAAATGCAAAATTCAAGAGTTTGATGGACAGAGTGCAAACACCTCATTGTCTAGCTTTGTACTGAAACTGTAACTTTTAACACTACTGGTCAAGACTTAAAAGGCCAGTATAGCTACATTATCCAAATCAACTGGACAGCAGAATAACAGTCATTAGCCAAGTTCTATCTGCTGGAAAGGGATCTTGTTTAGTATTATGTTGAATTATAAGCTCTCAAAAACACATAATAAAGTCATAAGCTAGTATTATTTTTCTCAAGTAAGTCACTGATTGTAGAAACATTTTAATTACAGGGGAATGCTTAACCTAAATATTTAAATGATGCATTTTTGGTGAAGAGATTTGACGTTTTGTGTACTTCCGTAGCTCCTTTCCTGTTTAACCATCTTCCTGTAATGGATAAAAATCCCAATGGGATGTCGTCAGTGGATAAACCTGATGTACGTGCTGGATCCTGTACAAGCCACATGCCGATGGGGCTGTCAACAGCTGCTATTGTGGGAGTTGCTTTTGCCTCCTTCCTTATCGGAGCTGGCCTGATGGCAGTTTTGTTGTTCATACACTTGCGTACAGGTACTTATCGAAATTAGTTTGTAGGTTGTACTATTAATTCTTTTATTAAGATCGCTATTAATATTACTTTTAATATACATTTAAGTTCTTCTCCCTGTGCTATATTTTAAAACAATTGTTACTCAAAAAATAGATTATTCAGAAATTATGTTAACAAGGCTCTGAAACAATGTTAAACGTTTATTAACATAATTTGCAGAACCTCAAATAAATTAATCAGGTTATTTTTTCTTCATTGATTTGAGATTTTAACATGTAGGAGCGATGACTCTTACAGTTCCATGGTCATTCAGATACCACATACTACTTTAGCCTTTGAAATATTATGCTAAAAAAACTAGACTTTCTGAAGTTTTAGTGGTCTTGATTAATTATAAAACTATACTTGCTGAAGTTTTAGTGGTCTTGATTAATTATAAAACTAGACTTTCTGATGTTTTAGTGGTCTTGATTAACTATAAAACTAGACTTTCTGAAGTTTTAGTGGTCTTGATTAATTATAAAACTAGACTTTCTGAAGTTTTAGTGGTCTTGATTAACTATAAAACTAGACTTTCTGATGTTTTAGTGGTCTTGATTAATTATAAAACTAGACTTTCTGAAGTTTTAATGCTCTTGATTAACTATAAAACTATACTTGCTGAAGTTTTAGTGGTCTTGATTAACTATAAAACTAGACTTTCTGATGTTTTAGTGCTCTTGATTAATTATAAAACTAGACTTTCTGAAGTTTTAATGCTCTTGATTAACTATAAAATTATACTTGCTGAAGTTTTAGTGGTCTTGATTAACTATAAAACTAGACTTTCTGATGTTTTAGTGGTCTTGATTAATTATAAAACTAGACTTTCTGAAGTTTCAGTGGTCTTGATTAATTATAAAACTAGACTTTCTGAAGTTTTAGTGGTCTTGATTAACTATAAAACTAGACTTTCTGAAGTTTTAGTGGTCTTGATTAATTATAAAACCAGACTTAAGATTTAATTTTTCAGGGTTAGCTAAACTTTGGACCTAAGGATCAGTTTTTTTGCTAGTGCTTCAAATACTGAACTTGAACTCAACTTGGTTTATATTTTTTGCATAATCAGCAGAAATTGATTTATACCATTGGAAAGAGAGGTCAAATATCCAACTTTGTTACATTCACATTAGTGAGTGTTTAATGTAGTTATGATGAAAAAAATGTCACTCACTGCTCCATTGAACAGGAACAACACAAAGTATTAGATACACAATCAGAATTTATTATCGGCTTCATTTAATAATTATACTTTCAGCAGAAAAATAAAATAGAATTGAATTAAGGTTATCATATATTCAGTAATCAACAATACATTAAGATTTTGATAAGAAATCAATTAAGTTGTAATGTTTCTTTTTTCTTTCAAATTCTTCTGAATATGTTAATTTTGGTGTGTAGAAATACATGTCCTGATTAGTTCTGGTATTAAATAAATGTCCTCCTTGTAGGAGACAAACGATGAATCTTAACTACTATTTTTATGCATGCCTCTAGCTTGAAGTATGAAATGAATAAACTAAAGATAAAGTAGAACAACCTCGGCAGATTAAGTTAAGTGATTTTTATTGCAAATATTAGGCCTACTGGATTTCAGTGTTTCGCCAACCTTCAGTATATGAATTGTAACTCTAAAAACTGTTTCTCATGATAAGAAATATAGTGAAGACTGTAACAAGATGCATACAATGTAAAGTTGTAGTTTGATAAACCTGATGGTTGAAAGCAGAAATAAAACTACCATTAGGCGGGTATTTGGGATTCACGTTTGTGTCTTTGTAGATCCGTCTCGAAGAACCCGAGCTCAGCAGCAGAGAAATGTTCACCATCATCACCGTCATCACCACTCGGGCTACGACCTGTCGGGGCACAGTGGAAGCTCGACCCCCAGCTCCCAAGCACCCATGACCGTGCATGCATGTGCATGACTTCTGTACTGTAGCCATTGTTTTGCTCAGTAGAAGGTCCTGCCCTCTCTCGATGTACCTGAGTATATATTATTGTTTGGTTTTCATCTTATAGATTTGTTTACGTGTTCCATGATATCAGAACATTCATTTTCCATCTTTCTATTCTGAATGCATATCACCAACTACCTGGGGTAAAAAAAAAACCTCTTTCTTTTCAAGCTCAAGTTACAATTTTATGTGACTAAACATTAATTTGTATATCTTTTATATTTCATGTTTATCAAACAGTATCATACGTTGTCTATCATGTACTTGGATGAAATAATGTGTGCTGTTCATCATAAGGCAGTAGTACCCATTCCAGATATGTTTTTTTTTTCATCAGGTTTTGTTCTTAAAAAATGTTGTATGATAAGGTGCCATAGCATCTCAGGTATATTGAAGTTTTATAGTTATTTAGTTTAGTTATATATTATTGTAAATTTTGTCAATATTTTTTTGGAGAATGTAGGTACTTTTAGATAATATTTTGTAACTAGATCTGACTATGTTTTTACAAACCTCGTTATGACGGTAGATAAGTAACGGCAATGCTTAAAAGTCTCGGGAAAGAAGTAAGGAAGATGAACACCAGCTCTGTTTTCACTTACCCTGGGGAACTTCCTCATCCTTGTGGGGGGTATGATGGTTGTGAGTACCTAAGCATCATAATGATTAACACCCAGTGACCACAACTCTACTTTAAGTGCGTAGAGTTGTTGAAAGTTTTATATAGAGGAAGAGTAGGCTTATATTTTCTCTTTCTGTCCCATATAATTATGTATATGCACGCAATATAAACATAAAAGCATTAATTGTCGAGGACTTGAGTTATTTTACGTGCTTTACTTTCTACTGGTGAATTTTAAGGAAACTTGATAAAACAGGCAATGCTTACTTTGACTCCAATATTCCATGACATTCTTACTAAATATAAAAGTATTTTCTGATGACAATGATAGTAAACTCTTTAATTTAAGACATTGTATACATTGGAAGAATTTTTAACCTTCAAAACTTTCAGTTATGAGAATTAACAATCTCATCACATCAAAGACTGTTCTGCATTTCTCTGTATTAAATTAGAGCCCGTGTGTGTTTGACTATTTATTAGTGTATAATCACTGGGAGGTTCAAACCTGTTTCACATTGTAGAATGTGAATTGCTGTTTGATTTTGACATGGTTCACAGTATGCGACTTGAAAATTTGATTTTGGCTACTGTTTCACAATGCAGAATATGACCTCAGTAAATGTGTAACTCATGTTTCACAATGTAAGATATGACTTTAGTAAGTATATAACTTTGTGTGCAATCCATAGAGGGAATCCCAATGCTAATTAGTGGGATTAACTGTAGTGTTGATCATCTATAAACTAATATCCAGTAATAATGTATAATACAGCTACAATTGTATATTTTTATGATGGAATACGAAAGGGTTTGGAACTTGATGGAATTTTTTAGACAATAATTCCACAAGTAATGTCAAATTTGGTCATAAAAATCAATCTAAGTCATAATTAAGAACTTTTAACCAAAACAAATTAACTAGATGAAATGGAAGTGTTAAGCCTATTAAGTATATAAATTCTGACAAAAAATAAAATAGAAGTAAAAATATTTGATGATAATAAAAATTAACTAATATTTGATTCATCCCCGGTGTCTCAGTGGTAAGCCTGAAGGCTTATAATGCTAAAAACAGGATTTCGATACCAGTGATGGACACAGTACAGGTAGCCCATTGTGTATCTTTGCACTTAACAACAAAACAAACAAAAATCAGTGCTCTATTCTTGTAGTAATAATATTTTATCCATTCTGTTTATATGTCATATATATATAGTTGAATTGTTTGACACACACATATATACATCACATTCTTCGTTGCCTTGACTTCTTTTCAAAAGCTTGAAATGCTAAAAAATTGGTTTTGATATTCATGGTGGGCACTGCACAGATAGCCCATTGTATATTTTCATGCTTGATAATAAACAAATCTTTGCAGAAGCTTCCTGTACAGAACCACTACCAGTGATACATTTTAAAATTATCATGTCTCGGTACATGAAATCAGGAAAGTATGTTTATTTTAACAGTGCATTGATCCAAAGGAATATTGTGTGGGAAATGGTATTAAGCAGTTTTTGGAAAGTCGCACGGGGCAGCACTTTAGTGTGGAAGTTGAAGGACCAATATATGTACTACCATCTCGGGGAACTCGAGGCAGAGACTCTAGTGGTGAGTAAAGATGTTTATTTAAAGGGTTAAAGAAAGGTTTTAGATGAAGATTGAAGACTAGTTAACCCTGGAATTACTAGTGGAGTCACCTTGACACCCACCCTCAGCCATGATGTTTTAAACTCAACTATTTACACACCTTTTTTGTTGATTATAAGGACCCTTGTATCATTTATATTGCACACGCAAAAAGCTAAGGTTAATCCCACTAATTAGCATTGGGATTCCCTCTATGGATTGCTCACAAACCTTCTAACAATTGTGAACCCACTAGCTGTATTATACATTATTACTGGATATTAGTCCTATAGATGTCTAACAGTTGTGAACCCACTAGCTGTATTATACATTATTACTGGATATTAGTCTATAGATGTCTAACAATTGTGAACCCACTAGCTGTATTATACATTATTACTGGATATTAGTCTATATATGTCTAACAATTGTGAACCCACTAGCTGTATTATACATTATTACTGGATATTAGTCTATAGATGTCTAACAATTGTGAACCCACTAGCTGTATTATACATTATTACTGGATATTAGTCTATAGATGTCTAACAGTTGTGAACCCACTAGCTGTATTATACATTATTACTGGATATTAGTTTATAGATGTCTAACAATTGT